TGGTATCTAGTAATCTTTCTCCCCTTAGTTAATTCCATAAATAGCTTACTGTGTGTTTACCAGATTTGTCCCCCAGCAAGAGCCCGGTTCTCCGTTCTCCGTTACCCTGCGTAAGCTTTACGCCTTCTGTTGCGCTTACTTCCGCTGATGATGCCAAAACTTCGTGGAGAGGGCGCGCGTGAAAAAAGACATCTTGTGTGGTAGAAGGTCTTATATGACAATCATTCAACAACGTATCAACACTGACATAAACCTCGGGTTTGTCAGTTTCTTCTCCCTTTCTCAACCTATCTTTCTCTCCTCTCTTCTTAGCTGCTGCTTCAAAACCAAGTGGAATGGTCGAAATTGTGCTTCTGGATGCTTATGTAAGGATTGAAGGTGGTTATCACAACCATAGCATCGTTTTAGAATGATATCTCGGCACTCACTCAGACCATAGGTCTGTAGGTTTTGAGTTCAGGCCCTTTCCTACCCTCCTGCCGCACTCTTCTGCACTCTAGCTAGCAGTAGAGCACCGTGTGGAATGATTGAAAGTTTGCTCAAGGGGTGTTCAGAGAGCAGTTCTTGGTGCTATTCACAATTGGGGGCATTCCAAAAAATTGTAATCGCAAGACCTGGGAACTTCCAAAGGGACCTGAACAGGTTAGTACTTTGCAAAGTTTTTCAGTCAAAGCGTTTTAGAGGAAGTTTTCCTCTTCGGTTCAGTCCTTAGTCATTTTCAGCCGCTCCACCATTGCTCAATACCATTGCAAAAGGCACTCATACACACTCCTTAACATAACTCTGGCGAAATATTGACCATTTTACAAACTCAGCTCTTTTCCTGATTCCTTTACCCTTTGACTACTGTTGGTACACATATTTGTCATATCAGCAGTCAAATATCACTATCTGACAAGCTTCATGAGACAGGGCACCCCTATGGAGACCTAATTGTGCATAAGAAGTAACTTCATAATCTTGCTGTAACGGCATTCTTTGCGAAGTATTGGGAGTTCTCCTAAATGAAAATCCAAACAGCTCCTACCGCAGTTTACTGGTCAGTATTTGTAGTCGCAAAGAAATGAAATGACTGATAGTTTCGCAGATTTTAAGATTCTTTCTTAATTTTTTTTCATGGCAGCTCTGAACGAGCAATCAAAAGTTGATGACGAAAAGGGATTTTTTTTTTGCAGATATTAGTTGATGGCAAATCAAGTGAAGATCCCAAGTTCAATGACAGATTTTAATTTTTATGTTTTGATGGTAAGGATAAGGAAAGTGATGGAAGATTCTGATGACAACACAGTTTTTCAATTCAGAAGGAGCCCGTGATACATGTCTGAAGCAGGGACAGGGGCTCGCCAGGTAATTCTGCTCAGGGCTTTGTTGCATAGCTCGAGCTCTAATTTGGTCAGTTGCTGTTAAAATACCGACCTAGCACTGTCCCACTATTGCTGTTAAAATTTTTGATTCTGTTGAAATTTTCGTTCGTAGTTCTAATTTTCATTTAATAGGTGCGGTTAATGATAAGAAGGGCCGCTTATGCGCGATGGTCAGGTAATGAAATCCTAGAATTTGCATTGCAATCAAATCTATATAGTTGATCAGTCACTTCTAGAGACAAAGGTCGCTGCATAAGCACATTGGTGTACTAATTTTGAAAGAATCTTGGTTTAGGGTCAAGCAATGTCCCCATCACTTTCATGACCCTTTAGTCGCGTGCATATGTAGAACATGAAAACATCTTCAGTGGCACGCTTACTCTCACGACTGCTTGTATGCATTGTTTCGCGCGTCATGTTTTCTATGCTGCTATAGGCAGCGTTTCTGGCCACATAAATTATAAGCGGAGCGTCCGCTACTGCCCTTTTATAGAGAATGATCGCTCTCTCTTAGTTAGTCGAACAGTTCTTGCTGTTCTGAGCATTTCACTTTGAAAAATCTTGATCTGTCTAAACGCAGCTGTTTGATTTGAAATAAAATCCCAATATCTCTGCCATAGTATTTCATAACGATTCATATACAGTAGTCTACTCCATCGGCAAGCCTTTCGCCACGTGCATAATTCTCAAAATTCGTATCTCCAAACCTAAACGTAGCGTGCAACTCTAGCACTGTGGTTGTAAGGGTCATAATCTTTCAAAAGTTGTCACCATGTCATGAAGGACCCCGGCCGGCTAATTTCTCAAATATGACGTCATCAAGTACACGCTGCCAGAAACCACGATCTGTTATAGTCTCCAAAAACCAGCTAAATGACGAAAATTTCTGGAAATCTTCAAGATTTGCATGCGGAAAGAGCGGAGTTCTGTTCCTACAAGATGACATTTAGACTACATAAGTGTTTCAAAGCCATTTCAATCAGTATAGAATAGTTTAGTACTGAGCTTCCGACAGATTGTCAATAGCTTTATTTGGCCAACGTTCCGATGCTTTCACCTTCTTCAGAGCCTGGAAAAGTACTAAGCTATTCTATTCTGAAAATATGCCAAGATTCATACAAAGTCGAACTTGGACATTTCAATCAGTCTTACTCAAATTGCTTCACATTCTCCATCTCTCGTTTTTACTTATGTGCCGCAGATGTACAAATTCAGTACCGAAGCAGGGGTGTGGAACACTCCTCAAAACTCTATTGAGCACAATGTACAGGCGTGCAGGCTTTCTTGGAAGAGGTAGCTTATGATGCTTAAGTAGGGATAGTGTTTCGGAGTGCTCCCTCTAACGATAAGATTGCTATTTCTCATAACGTCGCACTAACGTAAGATTTGAGCAGTGGGGGAACTTTAAATCATGAAATTCATTTTAATTAAAAGTTATTCTGCAGAAACTAGCTGGAAACAATGTGTCTCAAAATCATTGCAGTTATGGACGTTTTCAATCAAGTTCGCATGTTGTATGGCACAATCATTGACCAATGTACCAATGAGAATTGTCCGCAGATGACAGCAGGACCAACCTATGAGTACTTCTGGACAGAAAATGACAGAATGTAAGTCCCTAATAATTAGGTATCCGTTAGGTTTCTATTGTTTTTTCACCTTACGTTGTCTAAATTGTTCGTGGGCAATGGATATACCACTGTGTGCAGGAAAACCTTTACCAATAAAAAGGCATCGAGCCAGTGTTCCGTAATTTCCATCAAGTCATCAAATCTTATCAGGTTATCAGGTGTTAAATATTGGAGGAATAATGAAAGATCAAAAGCTTGCCGTTGTTCGGTCCATTTTGGAATACATCACGCATTTGACTGCCGTAAAATCTAAGATCTACAGAACCGTCGTCCGACCAGTCGCCATTTACGGAGCAGAGTGCTGGCCGTGACTAAAGAGGTTGAGGCTCGTCTCAGTGTAATGGAGACAAAAATGCTGCGCTGGACTGCCGGGGTCACGCGTTAGACCACATTCGCAACGATACCATCAGAAAGCGGTTCGGTGTGGCTCCCATCGCTGATAAGATGCGCGAAGCTCGCCTGAGGTGGTACGGTCACGTCCTTCGCGCTAATGATGAGAGTGTCCGTAAGATCGGTCTAGACTTTAACGTGCCAGGAAAGCGGCCAAGAGGACGCCCGAAGCAACGATGGCTTGATACGTTGCATGAGGATTTGAAATTAGTTGGCCTTCACCCCGATCAGGCACATAATCGGGAAAAGTGGCGTCGTAATACCAGGAAAGCGGACCCCGCCACAGGGTGGGACAAACGCTGAAGAATAAGAAGATTCGACTGCCGTAAAAGATGATGAATGATTTGAATGCCTATGCAGTGCAAATTTACGAAGGCGCCCTGTTACGATCATTTTTCTGTGCTCTTAGGAAGGACACTGTTTTTTTTTTTTTCAAAAATCTGATTTTATTCAGTTTAATGGAACTAATCGGTTCGGTCTTCTTTGACGTGATATCTGAGCATCTTTCACGAGAAGTTTCTTCTCCTAATCCCAATATAAATTATAAAGTTAGCTCTTCTTGTTATCTTTCTCCTGTCTCAACACACAAGTATATGCGTCTGACTTGGTCTTCTTACTGAGTGCGAGTCGTTGACCTCTGCGCAGAACACGTTACCCGTTAAAAATTACTCGATGTGAGAAAGAAGGCAGGTTGTTCCTTTTAGAAGGGGGTGATACGTATTGGTGAAAAAACAGAAATAATATTTCACAGTGCCGATCTCTTTTTGATGCCAGAAGAGAGGATTTGAAGGCGGGGTTTACGATTGAAAGGCAGCCCATTAGCAAACAAGCAAAGGTGATCAATGTAAAACAAGCAGAGAAACTATTAGAGCCCCTTTCTTGCCCGTTGGTTTCCTTTTCACCACACAAACCCATTGACTGATTTTCCTTACCTAGAAAAAATGAAATAAGCATTCGTTAGAATAATGCTCTTTCAAAATGAAGAGCAAAGATGGAAACGACAGATGCATCTAATTAGACGCTTCTATCATTACTCTCCGATGGTGGGGGGGGGGGAGGGAGGGCAGCGCGTGAGGAGGCGGAAAGCCCTGAGAGGGCCACCAAAAGCATACTTTTAGGCTTTGGAATGGATCGTCTGTCCGCCGTGAAGTAAGGCGTATTTCTCCTTCCTCGACCTCCGACCTTATCGTGGAATCCTCCTCCGGTGGAGAAAATTGAGATAAGTTTTGGTACTACAGTGGGAAGGGGCTTTGGGTGAAAACAGAAATAATATTTCACAGTGCCGATCTCTTTTCGATGCCAGAAGAGAGGATTATTGGCTGAAAATTCTCACAACGACATGGCCATTCTGGCGAGCAATTTTCGAAACGCCTTCTCCCGCACATTGGCGTCCAAGATGGTGGGACAACATAGGCATTGTTTGCTGGAATTTGGATTTTTGAAAATTGTCCTTTCAGATCATAGCTCTAATTTGGACGGCACGAGAAAAGTGCTTGCATGTAGTATTTCAATCCTCGTTTCAGATTGGTCTGTGCTTCATTAAAAGTAACGGGTGAAAGCCTAGATATTGTGAAGCTCATTTCAAATTAGTCTTAGAAACCTCTCCGATTTAGACCTTCCAGCCGCAATTGAAATCCTTTACCTCATCGCCTTGTGGTAATAGAGGCCAACTCAGCACACGCTCGGGAGGTCAAATCCCGGATGGGGTTTTCTCATTCTATCTGAATTTTAATCCTTTCAGAGTGGTTCACTCAAACCCATATAGGACGACAAGAAGTCTGAATGGTATATCAGCTTCTTCCAGATGTCATTGTAAAGGCCAAGTAACATTGAAATGCCACCACGATTCTCAGTGGAAGTGGTCTGCGTGGCGCATTCTGAAAGAGATTGATCAGCATTCACCACTTTCTATTCGCTTGAATTCAAACTTACCGCAATCCCTCGCATGGTGTTCAGATGTGGCTATTGTTCGGAAAGAGTGTGGCATAAACGAGGATTCAAAGATAAGATCGGAGGTCAGGAAGGGGGAATACACCTACTTACGGGGAGGTGGGCCTCCTGAGGGTTCTGCAGCGAAGAATTGGCCCCCGCAACTTACAAGGAATGGTCAATTGGTCAGTCCGGCCATTTGTAATGAGGTGTAGTCCGATGCACGCGTCTTGCGACGCTGAGCTCAAATCCGTTTTCGGTTTTTGCCGAACGATTCTCTGAACGAAGTTACGAGGGATTCTTCTCACTGTGGCTATCTCACTGTGGCGCCCTCTACATCCCCCTATCCCACTCGGCTCGCGTAAAAAGAGCCTGAGCAGGGTCAAGCGAGGCGTTGAGGAAAATTTGGAAATACGACCCCCCCCCCCACCACCCTCCGCCGGAGGCCGAAGTCCATG